TTGAAGTACTTCTGGAACTTGCCCGTCATCCAGCTGGCGATCCTGATGGCCAATGTTTCCGAGTGCATCATGACAGACATCACTCAGGACCTCAGGGGATTTGAGGAGAGGCTGGGCAATTCCCCTCGACACCTGGAGGCTGTGAAGGAAGTGAGTAAGCGTCTTCCAGCGGAGGTTTATGCCAGGTACATGGAGAACGCTGCTCACCTGGAAGATGCAGATCCGCATGCTGTGTACCCCACTTCGATCTACAGGCAGTGCGACGCCCAGACCTTAGCCACGAAGGACGCATCCACTATCGAGGCTGTGATGAGCACTACCATCACCACCACCATCAAGATTGCTCGGAAGGTTTTGGACCCCTCCAACCACTTGCTCTACGATGTCTACAAGCCCCTTGGCCGGTGCGTGGCCGTGGTCGACGACAAGGTGGACGAACATTACGGGGCGGAGATCGACCAGTACTTCGCGGCCCACAACATCGAGTTTACCAAGCTGGTTTACAGCGGCAACGAAGTCGACAAGGGCATTGAGGACGTCGAGAGGATTCTGATAGCAATGAAGAAGTATGCCCTGGGCCGCCATGAGCCTCTTCTGGTCGTGGGCGGTGGGGTGATCGCAGACATCGCAGGCTTTGCTACATCCCTGTATTCCAGGAACACACCGTACGTGATGCTTTGCACGTCCATCGTCTCTGGGATCGACGCAGGCCCGTCACCCCGTGTGTGCTGCAATGGCTACGACTACAAGAACCTTTACGGCTCCTACCACCCACCGGTGCTGACGATCACAGATCGAGGCTTCTGGAAGACTCTGCATCCCGGATGGTTGCGCCATGGCGTGGCAGAGATCATCAAGATGGCGGTCATGAAAGACCTCTCCCTGTTCGAGCTTCTGGAGCGCCATGGTGTCCGGGCAGTGCAGACTAAGTTCGGGACCGAAGGCGACAGCGTCGATGACCCCGAGTTCCAAGACGTGTGCGACCTCATCGTCGGGAAGGCAATGGAGGGATACGTGCGATCTGAGTATGGCAACCTCTGGGAAACCCATCAGTGCCGACCGCACGCTTACGGACACACCTGGTGCCCTGGCTATGAGCTGCCAGCAGGCATGCTGCATGGGCAGGCCGTCGGCACCTGCATGGGCTTCGGGGCATACCTCTCGTTCGTGGAGGGCTGGGTTTCCGAGGAGGAGATGCACCGCATCTTGAAGGTGATCTCAGATTGCGAGCTCTCCTTGTACCACCCAGTGATGGACGACGACCAGATGATCTGGAAGACTCAGCTGGCCATCGTGGAGAAGCGAGGTGGCAACCTGTGTGCTCCGATTCCTAAGCCTTTGGGCTTCTCGGGCTACTTGAATGACCTCTCAGAGGAGATGCTCGGGCAGAGGATGCACGAGTATAAGGATCTGGTGGCCAAGTACCCGCGCGCCGGGCGTGGTGTCGAGGAGCACTGTGTGGACGTGGGCCTAGAGGACCCTCAGGCCAAGAAGCT